AGTTTTAACAAGTAAAAACCCGCATTTAAATCGATTCAAATCGTACTATTGTTTTTCACCAAATAATCACAAAATTATACAATTAGGATACATTGAAGAAAAATTTGTTAACTTGACTAAATTACTATTTTGTTAATTGAAAATATATTAGTATTTAAATCAAATATAGATATATTGTTATAGATTTCATATGTTATATTTAATTTAAATATTTTTATATGTTCGTTTAACAAAATAATATTTAGTTGATAGGTTTAATCAAGTTAAAAAACTTTGTTTTCAGTGTACAAACAGAAAAACAATTATACATTAAAGTCAGTATAATATTTTGCGCGACAAGCTTTCAATATACACTTTTCACGTAAAATGGACAATTCGCACGTTCGAACTTTTTAGTTTTATTTGGTATCTGTATAAAATATGTACGAAAAAAAAAAACATTTTTATTTATACGAAAAAAAGTTTTATTATCCTAAATTATGGACAGTCCTAATGACTACTATCCACTTTTTTACGATACGGTATTGCTGTCCAAATGAGTCTTAAACTGTCTCTCTTAAATAGGCTTTAAGGTCTGTAAGGGGCAACATAAATTCTAATTCCGAATGAGAGAGGAGAAAAAACAGAGATAGCGACAATTGCGGTTAATTAATAGCGCGCTCCGCGAATTCGCCTGGAATTCCGCGACGTAATCTGGAATCCGCGATATAAGACAGAGAGAACACACGATCTTCTATTCATGTAAATATATCTATGGGATTACCATCGAAATGACGTCGATCGGCGCGAAGCGGCATCGACTCGGCGTCCTTGCGAGGAGAAAATCGCGAGGTCCTTTCTCGAGGGAACGCATTTGCGCCGCAAATAACATGTACTTTTCAAAAATAGCACGGACAATTATACGTATTAGTGTTTAACAATATCAAATCTCAAAATTAGCTCTCGCATAAAATAAATGAAGGCTTAAAGGATTTTAGATTTTAAATAAACATCAAACGCGATGATTGAGTTGTTTTTACTGGATGACTGGAACATAATTGAAGAGTTAATAGTTTTGGATCGATATTACACACACGGTGGCACCATACCCGAAGATAGTGCCGACTTCTATATAAGGCCTACCATCGAGGCGCCTGGTATTTGTCATTTCCGACAGGAAAGGCCGCGTGCTGTCGCTCTCGGCTTCTTTCGGAATATCGCGATCGTGATTAATATGGAGTGCCTGTCGACCTTTAACCACATGACAAGTGCTATTCTCCAATTTGTTTTAAAAAATGCCTTTCGCGAAGCTGCTTTAATATCGATCCTTCCTTTCCACGTCATTTACAGTTTAATCAATTTAATAGATTTATTTTTGATTAAGTGCGGTAGACATATTTTATTTGATTGCAAAATTGAATTATTATTACTACGAATTAATTACTGCTACAAAAATAAGTGAATATAAATAACTGATGATAAATGCACATTTTTGACTAAAAATTTTGACAATTCTCGTGGGAACTAAATACTCAAATTTTAATAATTTCTAAGTCCGAAAGAAAAGCGAATTTTTAGCGTCTATAAATTAATATTCGCGAAGAATAATATTAGATGTAAAAATTATTATTAAAAGATTATTCAAAGAAAATGCATAGAAAACTTGAAATAGGCTTAAATATTTCTCGATTCCATCGCTGCATTTCATTTACGTTAGGCTAAGATGCATATGGCATGCAGACGCCTTCCTCATCGTATATAAGTAGAGTACGAAAAAAACACAGCCTGTAAAAATGTCGCAAACGATAGAAAAGAGAAAGAAATGCAGAAAAGTGCTCCCAGAAGTGGCAGTATCGAGAGCACTGTGGTTCCTTATCGTTTCTTGTCGCGTACCTTATTATGCTCGCCGCTTGGCCACTCGTCACGGCTCGTAAAGTCGATATATGCAAAAGCACTGCTACTTCGCCCTCCCTCTGTTTCTGCTTACTGATACAACCCAATCTACCCCTGCCACAGGTAAGAAATTCCAGCACCTCACTTCGAGATCTGCCGTAATCCTTAAACCGGATCCAGACTGAAGTACTCGTATACTACACTTTGCTTTAAAATTCGAATCTAATGCTGAATGTGGAGGCTCGTATACGTATATCACCCTCTTCTCGATCTAACTTATTTACAATGTTTCAATCAGACTTAAAGTGCACAGTACATCAATATTTAATACAATCTATTTTTTATTTAATCTCTGCTCTTTTTGTTTTTTTTTAATTTCTCTCGTACTTAATTCAAATTAAGGAAAATTTTTAAATTCTGCATTCATTGTAAAAATGCATCTATAACAATCTTATATTTTTTCAGCGACAATAAACCTATCACAAGATTTAAAGCTATTAATTAATTCGAAAAGAGTACCTTAAATATATTTTATTAATTTTATCGAATGCGAATAGATGATATGACTACACAGAGAGAATTTTCTCTTAGAATTTACTCTGAAAGTCATGGTAATCGTGGGACAATAAAAAAATATTAATATGTACATAGTATAAATTGTATTATGTACATATTAATATCTTTTATTGTTTCACGATTACCATGACTTTCAGGGTAAATTCTAAGAGAAAATTCTCTCCGTGCCTCCTTATTTCGCGGAATATATTTAATGTAAAAGATACGATTTTTCGCTTTTAAAATTTGTCGCGTGACAAATAAATCTAATTGCCGATCGCGCGTAATCAGTAGTATTGATACGTTTATAAGGGTTCGTGCAGCGACATGATACCGTCTTACCACGGTCTGAATCCGGCTTTAAGGCGCATATACTCGGTGACTTTCTCCGAGTTGGCGCATACGGGAACGCACGCACGAGCTGCCGCGGTTTTATCGTCCTCTCCTGCCTACTCTAAATATCTCTTTGGCTACTCCGGTATGAATTTATAACGATGACGTGCCGCTAATAACGAGCGCAGTCCGGCATTTATACGAGCGTCGCGCCGTGCCGATCGGACACTTCATCGCGAATCCGGTGGGCATTATGAGCGCGCGCGACGAGGCCCGATGGCGATGAATGGAGCTCGTTTCGATGCCCGACTCGAGCAACCGAGCGGTGGATCGTCGTCGTAGATCAGTGAAAGTCGGGCTTGATCCGGACAGTTCCACGATCGGCCCTGGATCGCGATCGATCGCGCAGTATCGTTCCGGGAAAGATATTACATCCGGCGTCACGCGTAGGAAAAAATACATAATAAATTACCATTTTTAAATCCACAATATCTGGATATTATGGAAGATCGTTATTGTGTTATTGAACGATATATTTTAATTAACGAATCAATAATAATATATTCCACCGATTTTCACGAATCCTTTTGCCTTCTTGTTTCTTCGCAGTAATAAGATTCGCAGTAATGATATTCATAATCGCGCTGTTCTATCGCCATATATGCCGCGGTACTTATCTCGGTTGCTCGTAGGTATAGTTGCCTATAAAGTACGCGAACCTTACGCTTGTTATTTCCACGCAACTGTGGCCTGGCATGAAAGCGTCACGATTGTCGACCGCATTAATCGAGTAATTAAAGCATTATTCATTGTGTCTCGCATTTTTTTAAACGCCCTAATTTACCGTGCTCTTAATGATTTGTTAAAATTGCTTTAATAATGTCCGAGTTAATAAGCTGACACACGTGTATATGTATGCATACGTCGACATTCGATTGGTCACGTTACGAATGACTACTCTATTCGTCGCTGCAGTCGAGTGGGTCGTGTGGGAGATACAAATTGTATGCAAGTTCTTTTTTTTTCGTTTCAACATCGTGTCCATAAGAGCCAGCAATTTTAACATACAAGTTTTATGCAGTCGCTTGTCGATAAAAAAAAAAATAAAAAACAAATATGCACGCTGTCACAAACATATAATTTCAATTTCGCAAATCATCTGCATTAGTCATACATGCAGAAACAATATTAAATACGTCGAAAAAGAAAAAAATGTATAATGTTTTGCGAGTTAAACATATGAGATTCACTATCAAATTATCATCAAAAAATACTGATAATAAATTTATTTAAAAATAATTTAACGTTTAACTTTTTAATAATTAATTGAAAATTGATATTAAATTTCTTATAAGAGATCGCAAAATTAAACATAAAAAGTTATTATAAATTTATGTGATTCGAATTTTTTCACAGACGCATTTAAGAGAATAATTGGCGATGCGGCATATTTTACTAAAAATGTAGAATGAAAGGGCTCTTTAACACACTACTCTTCACTCTTCCCACTCTGCATTAAGCTCAATCGTAATTCACGCCACGCAGGACGAAGAGCTTCCGCTCTTTGCCACGCAGGACGTCACACACATCCTTTTTCCTCTTCTTTACAATGCACACGTGCAACTTGGATGCGTTTTTAGCACGTGTCGCGTGCACGTTTGTGAATGGGGAAAAAATTTCAACAGGAAATCGAAAGCACTTGTCTAGCATCATCGGAACTATATTTTCACATTTTTTACTTGCATATTTCGTTCCTGTACTATTAACGTTAATAATGTGTTCCTTATTTGAGTTTTAAAATGTAATATTTTTTTAATATAAAATATAAGAATTTAATATATGTATATAAAAATATTTGATAATAGAAAAAAAACTTGCAACTTATATATTAATTTTGAAAATAACGACTTGCCGTTAAATGTTCGAAAAAAAAAAATAATCTGTGCATATTCTAAAAGAGTTACACTACTGTTGCGCGCGTGTGATCATACTTTCACGATACCGTGCATAGACGGGGATGTTTACGGAGCGGCGAGAAAATAAACGCGGAAAGAGCCGGAGAACGTGACAATCGTGTTCTAGGATTGAGGCCAATGGGTATCTCGATCGCGGGGGAATTTTTCGACGATGATAGTCGCGCGATAAGGATCGCCTCGTTATGACTGTACGAGCGCTTAGCCGCACGGATAATCGTGCTTCCGCGATAGTTATAGCTCAGGCAAATCATTCGTGACACTTACTTTGCATAGAGCGACGCCAGTGTCCAGCCTGTCCATAAAATTGTCGAGATTGATCCTAAGTTCCGGATACAGGGCGTTCAGCCATTCAGCCAGGTCCTCCTTCATCGCTATCAGGTATTCCTCCGAGGACTTGAACGGCCTGTACGACCTGCCTTCCAGTAGCACCGACATGATTTTAACGGTATGAAAGCTGAAAGCAGAAAGATAGTGCATCCTATTTAAAATTTCATATAACTTATATATTAAATATTTATGTATTAAAAAAATTAGTTCTTGCTTTATCTTTACTGTTGGCTCTCTTCGCTGAGTTCACTTTTATTTCTAAATGTTGATTTAAATCAATAAAATTTTGAACATTTTTTCAAATTCTATATTATTAATTTTATTTTGTCTACTCTTTTAAATTTAATTTTAATTTAATATTACATAATAAATAAATAAATTATTTCTCATTATGTTAACACACTGTTTCGCTGTTAATTACACAAGTATATTTAAATTTTCTGTAAATTTATTGTTCAGAAGTAAGTTGACCCCAGGTCAAGAACTTTATTATTTGTTCAAAGAGAATGAAGAAGTAGGTCGATAATTTGAAATTCTATAATTTTTGAGTTAATCCGGCACGGGGCAGCACGCACTGAACCTACACGCCGCGCTTCAAGCGTTCGATTATCGAATCGATCGGGGATGAACTGCCTCGTCATCGAACCTGGGCATTCGCTCCTGGCACGGCTTTGCGATTAGTCACATGTGGGTTTTCCGTCGCGATTCTAATTGTTCGTAGTTCGTTTGATTAATAAAAAAAATAAACAGATTGATATTCTGCTGTGATTCAGTGATAAGTGAGATGTGAAATACGTTCACTTTGACATTCGCTAATTAACGGTAGCAACAAGGTGCGCCGTTATATACGCGACATAAAATTTGCGCTCAAAACATTGTTAACGAAGCGGAATTCAGTGATTTGGGACCAGAATTCACGCAATGGTGAAATATCAAGGTGCCGAAGTCCGATTGTTTCCACGAACGTAATAATTGTATACATGAGGCTCGCGCGTGTTCGCTTGGCACGCGTAGATCACGTGAGTTGGAGCGCGCAGATCACGTGATCAGTCATCTGGGACTGATACCTGATGTCGTGATTGTGTTTGCGTTCCTTTTTTTCATCCCTTCGAGCCCGTGGTGCTCAACGCACTGTAACATTTATGTGATCAGTGATTCTCCATGTTAATTGAAACATTTCGGTTCGCGATTTAATATCGCATTCGCCGCAATCGGCAACGTGTACGAAATCTTAATGTGAGATTTCGAACGATTCGATACACGAGTTTCGAGCGTGTTCATCGTAACTAGCAATTGTTATGCAACAAATAGTTTTTCGGTGGTGTCCATGCAACACATGCTAGATACCATATAGTGAGACATTTCGGACTGCTTAACAACCACGTCGTACGTGTTTTCGCGGTGACTATTTTATTCGTTAATAGATAAAGATTTTATGTAAAGGTTTCAAATTAATTTGCGTTTATGTACATTGTGACTCTCGGACAAATTTAGTTAATAAATGGATTGTTTTTGTGTAATTTGTGCATATAATTCCGTATTCTGGTTCTCGATTCGGCACGTGGCTTAAATCGTTACCCATCCTGCGCACCAATCGGAGCGCGTCCACCCTCCTTAAGATACAGTCCACTTTGAATCTTCCTGTGCAATCTATACACGCGAGACGGATATCGACGATCGGATTTACAACCCGATTGTCAGGATCCGTAGCTTCGTGCGTGAGCGTTCAACGTCAGCAATCGAGCGTACGCGCAAACATTTTTTGGTCCTTCGAGCCGGATGGGAGAGTAATGACGAATCGAGAACACTGAATTAAGGACACCAGTGATATTTAAGTGCAGCGTGATTCGAGATACAGTCAGTCAAGTAATCGCGTTTAAGTAGACAATCGTGTTAGTGACATATTCATAAACAACTATAGTGTCAAAATGGAAGACGCTCTTGCAAATCAGCAAACTATCTTCCACTCAATTGCTCGAGCTCTCGACAATTTCAAAAAGATTGGTCGTTCTAATTTGACGGCCGCAAGGGTTCGCTCACGGATTGCGACTTTACAAGCTCAATGGACTCAAGGTGTGCACAATCACACCATTCTGCTTCAACTTGTTCCAGAGGATGATCAAGGGTCAATTAATTATTTCAAGAAGAATCAATTCGACCTTCACGAAGATCTCTATCAATCAGCCCTGGATCATATGAACGAATGTCTAGAAGACCTGGTTCCTGTCGTAAGTCGAGATACATCCCTCGAAACTTCTTTTGCGCAAATGGACGCATCGTCATTCTCGTTAAAGCATCTCCCTCCTATTAAATTACCGCCTTTTTCTGGAAAAAACGAGGATTGGGAGACCTTTCGCGACCGTTTTCAGTCGTTGATTATAGATAACAAAGAATTGTCAAATTTCACTCGTATGCATTTTTTGATCTCTAGTTTGACAGGTCCGGCCCGCGATGCGATATCAGGAATCAAAGTAACCGCCGAAAATTTTAAGGTCGCGTGGAAAGCGTTAACCACGCGTTTCGAGAACAAACGACGGTTGATCGAAGTACATGTGTCGACCTTATATCATCTTCCAAAGATGACTCGCGAATCAGCGTCAGAACTTCACGAGTTGCGAGATAAAACGGAACAAGCGTTAGCGACATTGAAACGTCTTGATCGTACAGCAGAGGATATTGTAAGCGATATATTAGTATACTTCATTTCACAAAAGTTTGATTCTGCTACGCGTCGAGCGTGGAAATTGAAGAGTAGCGATAACGAAAATCCTCCAACGTACAAAGACTTGATACGTTTCATATCTTCGCGCGCTATAGCGCTTGAGGAACTCCATCCTCACGAACACGATAAAACGAAGTCACATTCGAGAGTGACAAGCGCCACCGCAACTGCGTCAGTTAATTTGTCATGTCCAATTTGTAAACAATCTCACTTTCTCTCTAAGTGTCAACAATTTCTTTCAATGAGCACGGATCAACGACGCGAATTGATAAAGAAACTTAAGCGATGTTTCAATTGCTTAAGCGATAAGCACGTAGCACTTAATTGTCAGAGTAAATTCACGTGTCGCAAATGTAGCAAGCGGCATCACACAATGATCCACGTTGACTCGGGCTCATTGCAACAAACAACGAGCATTCCTGCGTCATCGAGTTCGCAGAATGTTACTAATATATCAAATGTCACAGCGCTTTCAGCGGTCACGTTAACTACATCACCGACTCCTGTGGTGTTGTCTACGGCAACGGTGAAAATACATTCGCTTTCTGGACGTTCCTTAACTGTCAGAGCCTTACTTGACGGTGGTTCAGAACTCACATTTCTTACGGAACGCGTAGCGCAAATTTTACGCTTACCTCGTATGCAAACATTTACTTCAACTTCGGGGATTAGCTGTGCAGATACCGGTACATGCCGATCTGCCGCGTTAATTAATATTTCGCCTCGCGATAAACCTGAGCCAACCTTCACCACGGTAGCTTACATCATGAGAGCATTGACGAAGTATGCTCCCAGACACGCTTCGTCATTACGTGACTGGAAACACATCTCCAACTTGACCTTAGCGGATGACGATCCGACTGGATCAACTCCTATTGACCTCATTATTGGAGCTGATTTGTATAGCAAGGTTCTTGTCAATATACGCAATGGACCCATAGGTCAACCAGACGCTATACAATCGCATTTCGGGTGGATTCTATCTGGACCTACGTCAATCCCTAATCATGTCATACAAAACACCCATGTAGTCGGCTCTACTTTGGTTTCATCGCATGTCGGAGCCCAACCTCAAGGCTCACCATTACCCAGTTCACAACAAAGGTATCATGCAGTTGCTCACTGCTGCTCCTTGGAACGGCAATTATGTAAGTTTTGGGAGGTTGAAGAAACTCCTCAACATGTTCATGCGTCCATAGAAGATAAACAATGCGAGGATCACTTTCAACGCACGCATACTAGAACAGCAGATGGCAGATATGTCGTGCGACTCCCTTTTAAAGAGGGCCCGCCTATTAAAATAGGCGACTCTCGCAGCATAGCTGAACGCCGACTTTCGTCGCTAATTCGTAAATTTGCTCGTCAACCCACACTTGCACAAGAATATTTGGACTTCATGCGCGAATATGAGCAATTAAATCATATGAAGCAAGTCGCTCCTTTGCATTCAAATAATGTTCAAGCGACCTATATACCTCATCATCCAGTCATCAAGGAGACAAGTTCGACAACCCGTTTAAGAGTCGTGTTCGACGCCTCCTGCCTCACATCCAATGGAACGTCTCTCAACTTTCACATGTACACCGGCCCAAAATTGCAGTCCGATCTACAAGCAGTTATATTGCGCTGGAGGCAATATAAATATGTATATTCTGCGGACATCGCTAAAATGTATCGCCAAATATTAATCGATCCTAGAGATAGAGACTACCAACGGATACTGTGGGTCGACCACAACTCAACTATACAGGAATATCAACTCCTTACCGTTACTTACGGCACTGCGTCAGCACCGTTTCTTGCTCTTCGAGTAATCCAACAATTGAACTGTGACGAGGGAGATTCATTTCCGTTAGCCTCTCCCATCCTAAGAGAAAACATCTACGTCGATGATGTATTATTTGGTGCAGACGATATCACACTGTTAAAGCAAGCTCGCACTCAACTTTGTAATTTGCTGAACCGTGGTGGTTTCGATCTCCGGAAATGGGCCAGTAACCACTCAGAATTGCTTTCAGATATTCAGCCTGACAATCATGGATTGGCTTACGCAAAAAATTTGGAGACTGATGACAGTCTAAAAATCCTCGGTATTGTCTGGAACCCGAAACATGACTGCTTTCAGTTTCAAATTACATTATCTGAAACTGTTCCTAACACCAAACGAGCAATTCTATCAACAATAGCAAGATTATTCGACCCGCTCGGGTGGGTCACACCTGCGATTTTAAAGGCGAAAACTCTCATGCAGCAATTATGGCGACACCGTATCGGATGGGACGACATTATTCCGGACGAAATCTTATCATCCTGGAAGTCTATCTACGAGTCATTACCCTATCTACGAAAAATTCAACTGAGTCGCTGGACAGGTTTTGAGTCCGGAACGGCAACTGTGG